TCATTTTTTTGTTGATTGATTGTACATCATCTTCTGAGAAGTGTCTCTTCAGGTTCTTGGCCCATTTATTGATTGGATTACTTGTTGTTTTGGTGCTTAGCTTTTTGAATTCTTTATATACCCTAGAGATTAGTGCTCTATCTGATGTGTGAGGGGTAAAGATTTGCTCCCAAGATGTAGGCTTTCTATTCACCTCATAGATTGTTTCTTTTGCTGAGAAGAAACTTTTTAGTTTGAATCCATCCCATTTATTGATTCTTGATTTAAATTCTTGTGCCACAGGAGTCTTATTTAGGAAGTTGGAGCCTAATCCCACATGATGGAGATTAGGGCCTACTTTTTCTTCTATTAGACGCAGGATCTCTGTAAATCTATGATCTATTTTGAATTAATTTTTGCATAAGGTGTGAAACTTAATTTCAGGATTTCCCCCCTCCCTATTGGTATCCAATTGCTTCATTACTATTTGTTGAAAAATCCATTTATTCTAATGAATTGTTTTTGCACGGTGGTGAGAAATTAGTTGACCATAGTTGTCAACTTCTGGGTTCTTTATTCTGTTCCACTGATCTATGCATCTGTCTTTCTAAAAGTATTATACAGTCTATATTAGAGTAGCTGTATTTTCTCTCTTACATTCTAGAGGCGTGATTTCTTTTTCTTTGTTCTTTTTCACAATTGTTTTACTATTCTATCTTTTGTCCTTCCATATTAATTTTATCTCATTTTTATTGTTTTTTTTTTTGTGGTGCTGAGACTCAAAACCAGGTTCTCGTGTACACTAAGCACACACACTATCACTAAGCAACACCCCAACCCAGTATAGATTTTAAAATAATATTGTCAATATCTACAAAAATATTGCTTGGATTTTTATAGGATCTTCATTAAACCTTTATCAGTTTCAGGCACATTGACTTACACATAGAATCTTTCCATCCATGAACAAAGTTACAAGTCTTTTTTGTTGTTGTTGTTTTAAGAAATTCTTTGATTTCCTTCAGCAGCACATTATATAGTAATGGGATACAATGTAATGTTTTGATACAAGTAAATATTGTGTAAAGCTTAAAGAAGGATTAACTATGATTTCCATTTCCTCAAACAATTGTCATTTCTTTATGGTGGGAACATCTATTTTGAGATATACAATATGTCATTGTTAACTGTAGTCACTCTAGTAGTCAACAGAATACTAAAATGTTTTTTCCCTTTCTAATTATAACTTCAAATTATTGACTGACCTCTATCCCTCCTTTTCCTTCCTAGTTTCTGGTAACCACTATTTTATTCATTACTTCTTTGAGATTAACTTCTCATTTTCACATATGAGTGAGATTATGCAGTATTTTTCTATCATTTAACATAATGTTCTCCAGGTTCATCCATGTTGCTGCAAATGACAGAATTTCATTCATTTTTGTGGTTGAATAGTATTCCACTGGGAATATATGCACTATTTTATTTATCAGTTCATCCATTGTTGAATACTTAGGTCAATTCCTTATTATGGCCCTTGTGAATAGAACTGCAATAAACATTTAAGTACAGATGTCTTTATGATATACTGATTTCATTTCCTTTGGATATATACCTAGCAGTGGGATTGCTGAACTATATGTTAGTTCTAATTTTAGAGTTCTGAAGACCATTCATAATATTTTTCATGATAATTGGATAAATTTACATTCCCAGCAATAGCATGTAAAGGTTCCCTTTTCCCCACGTCTTTTCCAAGACTTTACTGTTTTTGAAATAATTATTTCAATTTGTAAGTGTGCAACAAAAATATTTTTCCATCAAAAATCATCAAAATTCTACTGATAGCTAATTATTTTTAGGTAACTAACATTAATTTATGGCATAAATTATATCAATATATTGTAAATACTTTAATAAATAATTTAATAAAATCTTAGTAAATTGAATATATGTTCAGTAAAAGTGGTCAGATAAGGCCTACTTTTATTTATTTATTTAGGTACCAGGGATTGAACCCAAGGGTGCCAGACCACTGAGCCACATCCCAAGCCCTGTTTATTTTGAGACAGTGAGAACTAAGTTGTTTTGGGCCTTGCTAAGTTGCTGAGGCTGGCTTTCAACTTGCAATCCTCCTGCCTCAGCCTCCTGAGCCACTAGCATTACATGCATGTCCCACTGCATCTGGCTGCTTTTTAATTTTAATGCAGTCAAATTCATTTCAGAATTTGACTGGATGTGTATTTCTTGTCCTTAAACTCAGAATTCTCTAGTTCTGTATATATCACATGAAATCAATACCACTGTCATTAAACTGGAATCACTTTTTGCTATTAATGACATGAACAGTGTGAATTCACGTTTAAAATGTAGTATGTTTAATGTTTATGCTTATTTAAAATATACACACACTCACATAGCGTATATGTGTAACTTTTAAAAAAAATCAATCCTTGCCTTAATCATGTCATGCCTCACACTATGCAGGTAGATGCCAGAGGCCCTTTGTTCACGATGATTTTTTTAATGCTAGTTAATACATGAAAATGTAAACCTAAGATTTAAATTATGAGTGTTTCTTATTGACGTGAATAAAAAGTATCTGAAATTATTTTTTAGCATACATGGCATTACTTGACAATATAAAATATATATAACTTAGCATTTAATACCTCTGCTCTTCCGGTAGCTGCACAGGATAAAATGTATTTTACAACATGTTTTGGTGAATGCTTCTGTATGTAGGTTTTCGAGATGGAATAGTTTCTCTTATTTCATCTTTGTTATAATTTTACAGGATTCAAGCCAAAACTCGAGAATTTAGGGAGCGACAAGCTCGAGAACGTGACTATGCTGAAATCCAAGATTTTCATCGCACATTCGGCTGTGACGACGAGTTGATGTATGGGGGAATGTCTTCTTATGAAGGTTCTCTGGCTCTCAACACCAGGCCCCAGAGCCCAAGAGAAGGGCACATGATGGATGCTTTGTATGCTCAAGTGAAGAAGCCGCGGAATTCCAAACCTTCACCTGTAGACAGGTAGGCTCCAGGGGCGATCCTGGTATTGCTTTCAAATCAGCTTTTATATAGTTTTTGACAAGGGAGTAGATTGTTCATCAATCCTCAAACCTGAACTGCCTGTTATTAATGGCTTTTTAAAAGCTGTTGTGTCTAAAGTATTGAATTTACACAAATCGAAGCCTAATGGAGAGAGCAGCAAGAGGTTTTGATAGCTTTTCTAATGATTCCAACATATTTCATCCTGTTCTTCAAACAGTTTTAGGCCTAAGAACCAACCTTTAGTTTATAACTCAAATAAAAAGCAAACTTGAAATTATGGCCCTTCTACTTAAGCAATATTTGCTTTTATTGCTAGGAGAGGCTCCAGTTAGGGTAATTAACTAGGTGAAGAATGACATGATTTGTTCCAGTTATGATTTAGAAGGGCCACCTTTTTGGGTAACATAATTTTATATTATGAAAGAATTAGTAAATGAGAAATACAGCAGAGCCAGTTTTGAAATTGGTAATTAACAGTCACATAGCACAGGTCTGATTTATATTTACCAATAAAACATACAGGAGTACAATGTTGACTGTATTTGATTTCTATAGTTATTTAAAAATTTAACTGACTCTATGGAGATGTGTGTGTGTGTGTGTGTGTGTGTGTGTGTTGGTTATGTAATTACAAATATCTGTATGTTTTGGGCAGTTATTTATTGGTTATATCCTTACTAATGTCTATATACTGTTGGCTGTATGTTTATTTCAGATGGATACATGTGTATTTCAAGTTTTAACTGACATAATTTTAAACAGATCTTTTTCCATTCTTCCATTTGTATAATCAAGCACCAGATGGATTTTAGCTCATGAAGAAAATAATACTCATTTCTTTTATGTCAAACATATGCATAGTATTATCATAAACACTTCACTCACCATGTTATTATTGTTGCTGTGTGTGGGAGCTGGGCTCCGTACATTATACATGGTTTCACTTAAAAATCAGTGATTCCCAAGCCTTCATGAGCTTTAGGGTCACCTGAAGGTTTCTTAAAGCACTGATTGGTTGACTGTCTTCTAGCATTTTGTCTGGAGTGGAGCCCAGGGATTGACATTTCTTATAAATTCTAAGTTTGATGTTAGCACCACTGGTCCTGGGGATATACTTTAAGATCCCTTGCAAGACAAAAGATGGCACTGGAATTATTTTATCTGTGGCATGTGTGTAATTTGTTTGATACAGTTTTGTAAGAAGTCTATTTCAGTTATTTGTTTCCAGCTTTTTTTTTTTTAATAGAGGTGTGCAAATGCAACATATAAACCTTGGGCAAACCCAGAAGGAAGCATTTAAAAAAAAATAGCAAATGGAAAAACAAAACAAAACAAGCAACAGTAAGTGAAGAAGCAGATATTAATGTGAAATTTTGATCAGATTATTGTTCTGATGTTTCCTTTTTATGTTGTAATTTCAATATTTGTTTTTTCTTAGAAAATCTATTTTATGTAGAAGATAATGAGTGAATAAGGAGGCTTCTAGTTTATTTAAACCCCTCTACCGGGATGACCTAGAAGGTTCACCTGCTTATTAACTAACACAGATGTGCCAGGACTCAAAGAATGAAGTTATTATCAGTGACAGTGACATTTCCTTCAAAAGCTTTTTACTTGTTTCTGCCATATTTGTGAAAGCTGCTTATAGAAGGTCAAACAGCATTTGAAGGCGGTTTTAATTTTTAATGTCTCATTGAAAGTGTTTTCCTGGGAGAAAGGACACTAGTAACAGTAACATTGCCAGTTTGTAACTTTGGGAGGAACTTCAAAATCATTAATCGATGTATTATTGTTCATTGATGAAGCATTCATCATTTCCACATCTAGTTAAAAAGAGTGGATGTGCTTGAGCAGTTACATAGCTCAGGAGTCCCACATGACCAGAGCCAGAGTCAGAAAGGATCTCCCAACAACTCATAATCAGAAGTGGGTGCTTTAAACCCCAGTGTTCTAAAAGACTCTGAATCCTGCCAGAAGATTTCTGCACATTTTCTAAAGGGCTTCCATGTTCAGAACCCCTCTACTCTGGGCTACAACATCCCTTCCCATGACTTCTGCTGTGCACCACACTAATCCATAACTGAAGCAGCCTCCTAACTAATTGCTATCAAAAGTCTACTCAGGAAAACATCTCAGAAAAAAAGGATTAGTCACACCTGTGAATAATTCAAAATCACACCTTAGACATCGCTATAATCCAATCCTCACCAGCTTTACTCAGAGAGATTATTTTTTCAAAAAAGAATTACAGAAACCTAGGTTTGGCTTTCTGATTTTTTTTCAGAGAATAAGATACCCATTAGATAATGAGTGACTGATCACTAATTCAAAAGGTTGATAACTACTCTACCTGTACAATACTTCTTCACTGACCTGTTCCTGAGTATGAACTTGGTATGGAAAAAATGGTATCATCCCCATCATCTTTTTCTGTCAGACAGCCAGCTGTAGAAGAGTGCTTCTCAATTTTGAGTAGTACAGAAACTCCTTTTTAAAGGAAAGATAAGCTCTTTATACTGCAGCATTGGTTTAAAATGTTTTCATTATACTGCTATTTAAATATGTATAAAAATATAATAAGACCCAAATTCCTTCTGTTTATAACCATTATACAACTATAAAACCAAACGTCTTTACAAAATTAAATACAAACAAAATGGCAGAGCCATTATGTTCAAATGAACAGCATTAATGGGACCATACTATTTTTTTAAAATAATCTAAATTCTTGCACAAATCATAAATAAGGTGGTTGTGGCTACATGGTTAGTTCATTTGAGTGTGTTTATGTACCACTATGAACTAAGTACTAACTAAGCGTTCATCATATCATCAAAAGAACTGCAAAATTCTGGGTTCTTTTGAGTGTTCATGTTCAAATATCTTTGGTCTGCACATCACAGAGATGAATCGTTTATATGTGAAGTTAGCTTGCCTCTATTATCATTAAGTTGAGATAGTGAAAGTAGTATAATTCTTGGTGCCTTCATATTTGTAAACTTAAAATTCAGACAATAAAATAACATGCCCGTAAATATCTAGAAGACACTTACATTAACTTATCATCCTAATGGAAATACAAAACTTGAAACTTCTCAGAGATTATTTCTGGTATGAACAATGTACAAGCTCTTATCATCACTAAATGTCACCAAAATTTGTAATCAGTATCTGATCAACTTTACTATTCAGATTTTTGGGTTTTGTGGGAGAGTAGGCAGTGTAAAGAGTTGACAGTCGTGAAGTGTAGCCTGCATCTCTTCTTGGATTTTCTTTGTTCAGTAAGAAAGCAGAATTCAGAATTTTTCTTTCTTAATCATTTTCTTGGATCTTATAGTCAGAAATGTGAATTTGGTAGCTCTACATGGAAGCAACCAAAGATAATTGATTAAATGCTATGAATTTGATGTCAAAATGGGGGTATCTTTTTCAATTTCCATGTATTATTTATGAAGCTTTTTATAGGATAGCATTACATTATGTCTAGAAATATTTTCGTGCTGTTTATTGACATGTCAACTAGTATATAACCATATGCTTTAATCATGATGCCCTGGTTACTTTTTATTGGTGTCCTTGGCAACATTTTGGTTTTTCATGATGGATAAAGAGAAGCTAAAGAGAAGCAGACCCTCTCCTGTGTTTTGTATGAATACTAGACTTACACTCACACACACAAAAAAGCTGACATATTTTTCTTTATCCTGATTATTAATCAGAGACCTCAAAATTTTATCATTGGAAATGATTCATAATCCTGTATTTCTTAGACATGAGTGCCTTTCCTATTTGTTACTGCATCTCACTGCTGTTTCCATACTCTCTATGCATTGAGGAAGGAACTGCCAATTGCCTGCCTGCTATCTTCTTATCCCCTTCTTCCTTGCTTAATAAATTCCAATTTTGTTCAAGATAGCAAAAGATACCTATCCAAAATTTTCAATTTCTCCAGGTTCCCTTTCAGCCACGGGTGGCATAGTTTGGACAAATAAAAGTTAGAAGCAGATCTAGAGGTGGAACTTCCAACAAAGCTAGTTTTTTCCCTGACTAGAATGGGGCTGAGCTTGGGGGTTTAGTGCAGCAGTAGAGTGCTTGGCTAGCACATCCAAGGCCCATGGTACATTCCCTCGCACTGCAAAAAAAAAAAAAAAAAAAAAAAAACAGCGTAGGGCTGGGGATGTGGCTCAAGCAGTAGCGGGCTCGCCTGGCATGTGTGCGGCCCGGGTTCGATCCTCAGCACCACATACAAACAAAGATGTTGTGTCCACCGAAAACTGAAAAATAAATATTAAAAAAAATTTTCTCTCTCTCTCTCTCTCTCTCTCTCTTTCTCTCTCTCTTAAAAAAAAATTTTTTTTTAAAAGCATAAAGGTGTTGAGTCGGTTCTTACTCTTTAACATTTCGCTTCTCTGTTTGGATCCTGGGTGGGTGCTGCAAGTGAGGGTTTACAACCCTGAAGGGGAAGGCTGCATGGAAGAAGAATGGGGCAGCCTGGTCCCTTGAGCATGCATTCCTGGCATGGTCACTCTGGACTTGTCACCTGTACCTTGTGTATGTTAACCTGCCATCAGGTTTCTGTTTCATGAAGCCAAATGCCATTCTGAATATAATAAGTTGTGCACAGAAGAGCCCCCCAAAAGGAATCATTATATTTTGATCAAGATTGTTTGCAGATTGGAAAATTATCCCCTGGTCAAATGATTTTAATATTTTGTGAAATTAAATAATGGGCAAAATTCTTCAATGTTGCTCAGTTAGCTATTCTGCCCTTTATTTTGTTAAGCCTCTACTTAAAGATATTTTATCAATGAAAGGTATTCTAGAAAATATGCTCCTTAACTTTTGAAGACCTTTATCCCCTGCCAGCTCCTACCTCCATGGACAATTCTGCTATAAAGTCAGAGGCAGTTACCTGTTATATACTAGCATGAACTATAGAGCCAACTTGCCTGAGTTTTGAGCCATTGGTTGTATAAACT